CAGGATTTTTTGATTATTAATTTATATTTTTGATCCTTTTTAGAATGTTAACAATCTTGTTTTTTCGTCAGCGATGAGGCGGGACAACTAAAGAATAATATTAGAAATTTTAGCGTCTTTTTTTGCGGAGAAAAACACATTGATTTGGAAAATCAAATAATTTATTGAAACTTTCAGGACTTATACACAAATTAATAAAATTATTTTAAAAAAGGTTTTTTAGAAAATCTGTTACTCTCCGTTTATTTAATTTTATGAAATGTCGACAAATTAAATGTTGTCCTGTTTATTAGCAGAACTCCTTGGAAAATTTAAACCTTTTAACCATCAATTTCTTTTATTAAAAGTTACAAAAAATCTGCTCTGAATCGTAAAAAAAAAGAAAGAAAAGAAAAAAGTAAAACAAGTAATTACTTGCTGTAAATAAAATATATTATGGACAGTATTGTTACAAGAATTTTTTTCGATGAATAATGAATTTTTATTTTTACAAGAAATTTTTTCATTTAAAAAATTTTAATTAGAATAATTTATAAAGTTTGAAATTTTTTAAATTTCTGTATTACTGTTTCCTTGTTAGGTGATATTGTTATTAAATAAAAACTATATTTACTAATCATAAATGTAAGTACCCACACTAAATTTTCGATACCTTAGATTTAAAATGAATTTTAAAAAATGAAAAATGATTCTTGAAGCTTTCTTTTTATCTTCAATGAATAAATTACTATTTCCAGTAAGCAAAATACTCGGGTGTATTTCAAGTAGAAATTATATTGATTAGAATCTCAACTTTTTAGTCGCTTTCAAAAAATTATTTAAAATCGGCCATTTTTGACCCATTTGTAAACAAAAGTTAATTCTTGGTTTTAAAAATCTTCAAAAAATAAAATATACTTTTTCTGAAATTTTATTTGAGGAATATTAGATGATTTAAAGTATAATCTGATTTAAAATAAATATTATTTACTTTAAGTTGAAAATAAGAGAGAAATAGATTTTTGATTAGTAAATATAGTTTTCATTTAATAACAATATCACATCACCGGATTAAAGTAATGCAGAATTTTAAACGATTTATAATATTACGAATTATTATAATTAAATTTTTTAAAAAGTGAAAACAATTCTTGTAAAAATTCATTATTCGTCAAAAATTTTTTTTCTTAAAACAATAGTGTCCGTAATAAACCTTATTTATAAAAGCAATTAAAAGCTTTTCTAATGAGAAATTAGTTTTATTGCATTTTTTATTTTACGATTCGGGGCATATTTTCGGGAAATGTGTAGTACTTTTTAAAAAAATAATGATTTACATTCTTCAAGGTGTCCTGCTTTTATCCAATAAAATAAATTTTAATATTAAAATTTAATTTCTCGAAATTTCATGAAATTATGTAAGTAACATATGTAAAAAAACTTTTTAGATATGTTTTCTAAAAAAAAAAATTCAAAAATAATTTCTTTCATTTGCGAATATGTTCTGACAGTTTCATTAAAATCCGACAATTATTTGATTTTTGCAAGAATTTTCAAATCAATTTATTTTTCAGCTGAAAAAAAAGCACTAAAAAACCAATGGTAAATTTTGAACGTGCTAGAAATAATTAAAAATTTAATAAAATAATAAAAAATAATTTGGTATTAATAATAACTTCTTTTAGTAATAACTTAAATATTTTGACGATAAAACTTCGTTTTTATTAAGTTTGGGGCTTTTCTTTTATCATGCTATGCTATTTTTTAGTAAAAAAGTGGAGGTACCTACATAAATGATAAAGCTTAGTACAATTCATCGATCATTATGATTTTCAAAAAGAATCTTCCAATTATTTTTTGCGTGTATAAACTTTCCGATTTTTTTTAAAAAATACGGATGTCTATACTTGGCATTATCAGAAAATAAGAGATATAATCTAGTAAATTTAAAGCCAAAAAATTAGATTACGGAAAATATTTTAGTAAATTTTTAAGATTACTGAATAGTTAAAAATTATGTAAAAAAGTCGTTCACGTTATATTCATCAAGTAATTCTTACAGATATATACACCCTAAAAAACAGATAAACTTCTGCGGTTCTAGCTAATATCGCGTTCAGTTCTGAAATCGTTAAAGTTGCCATTTTTCACAAGTCAGTAATTGAATAAGTAGCAATGGAAAGAATTTCCTTTTGTTGATTCAACCATTTCAGACTTTTTACAGGCCACAGCGCCCCTTTTACAGACTGGGTAGAAATAGTGTCAGACTGACTTATCAGTTATTTATACTTATATTGTTATAAATATAAATTCTATAGCAAATTATTCAAAATTGCACATAATTTCAGGTAATAATATTGTTCAAATGGTTCATTGAAGAAAACTTTAAAAAGAAAACAAAACAATGCTGTGTCCATATTCATTGGACACTAATTTCTATTTTGCATTAAATGAACATAGATTAAAAGTAAAACATTGTCAAAAATATGACATGGGTCTAGAAAACAAATATATCAAGATTTATGTGCGTTGTAATCAAATACAGACGTAGAAAGCAATAATGGAGTAGATTTAGTCATGATCCCTTAAGCACTAACTACTATACAGACATTCTTATAAAAGCTCTGGACAGAAAATACATTTTCAGATTGACTGTTGATTGTGCTATATCGGAAATCTATTCTAAATTAATTTACAGTAAAGAATCCTGTGTTAAAAGAACAAGTCAAGATTAGTTTCGCATCAGAGAAGTCATAAAGAATTATATGACCACCAGACTTTTCATTGTATGAAATACAGGATCCAGAACATACGTCTAGGAATCATTCGTCTAAGGAACACTGGTCTAAGGAATATTGGTCTTCGGAACACTCGTCTGAAGAATATACGTCCAAGAAATATATGTCTAGAGAATTATGCAGTAATGTGAGTTGTATTAATATACAAAAAATGCACGCCAATAAATGCTTATAAACCAAATGTATCATCAGTAATTAATGTTGCTATGTCTTAAATATTATTCTGTAATGAATAGTGAATATCAATAAAATTCAGTATTTTGTACGTGAATAAATCGTTAATTTATTAAAAAGTATTATTATAGAACAGTTGTTCTTGGACGGATATTCCATAAACCAATGTCCTTAGACGAATATTCCATTGACCAATTGTCTTTTGACGATTCCTTAAACAAATGTTCTTTAGACGGATATTCCTAAATTCTTTGAATACAAATAAATGTGTTTCTTATCGGTATATTTTGTTAGATGCAACAGAAATATCATAGCACTCACTTTTGAAATACTGTTTTGAACATCGTTATTCCAAGGCATTGGTGCTAAGCAATCTTTTATCAATGGCCTTACTAACGAGATCATCGTTTTTGCTATAAGCATAGGAGTGCTTCCGATGGGCCGAATACTAGTTTTTTCTTTTTCTTTTTTTTTCACATCAGAAAATATGTAAACTTCGGGATGGCCATATAACTTTTTCTATGTGCCGTGTTCCTTCAAAATGTTGGCGATGATGGCTCTCCACAATTACCTGTCCTTTGTTGATCATAATAAAGTTTATTATTTTGTTATGTCTCCTAAACCCTGTCCAGCTATCAATTTACTGAAGCTCGTTAGGTAGAGAGGTTATACGATGTTTTCCTCTTTCCTGATTATGGGCCAGAGAAATTTTACTTGTCTTTCTGATGCTAAAAATAAATATACTATTTGATTTTATTTTCTCGTTTCTCACATGTTCCCAGCATCCTTCTGAAGAACCACATTTTTTGTTGCTTCAAGTCTCATCACTGCCATATAGGAAAACTGATATTATATAAAAATTCCGTACACTTTTCTTTGTTTCTAACGAAACTTTCTTGTTTCTTAATACTTTGCTTAGCTTTTGGAAGGCATATTTCGCTATTCCAATGCGCCTTCCGATTTCAGTGTCGCACTTTCTGTCCTCTGTTAAAACGCTTCCCAGATGATTAAATTGTTACACCTATTTGATTTTAGTATCTTCAATTTGTAACTTGCATGTTCTTTTTGATAACCACCATGCATTCTGTCTTCTTGCAATTGATGTTTAGTTCTTTCTTCTCAATTTCCTTCACTACATTCTTGAGGAGTTCTTGTAGTTTCTTCTCTGTGTCTGATATCTACATTGTGTCATATATCTTATATTGTTAAGATTGTGGCCGCCATTAATGAACCCTTTAAAGAATCTTTGCCGATCAATTCTTCGTGGCCGTGTCGGTTAAGGCACCTCGGATCCATCGATGGTTTCCCACTGCCTTGAGGGACGCAGATTCTAATCCTGACGGAGAGCGCATGTTTTTCTTGAATATTCAAGAAACCTTATTAAAGATTTCTCGAATATTCAGGACGGTAGGCGAAAATAAATATACTCTTTAATAAATAAATGGAGCGTCTACTCAAATATGAGTATCCCCTAAAAGTAAAGTTCATATATATATATATATATATATATATATATATATATTGATTCATTGATTGTTATGTCAGGTTGAAGAAATCGTCAGTTTTAAATTTCCTTTCCAGTTTCAATGACGGAGATTATAATTTCTAATGATAACTATGATTAATTATTAACATTTCGGGAAGTTTCCAGAATTAATTTTAATTTAAATATATTATGATCTGCTGGATAAATTTATGACAATTTTTATGACGTGAATAACTTTGCCGATCCTGGCATGCAATTGCTCTTATGATTCATGAAATAAATGTTTCAATATTTATGTGTTAGACATTACAAATTCATTAACAACAAACATGTCTGTCTGAAAAAGTTTCGTTATTAGCGATATAAATGACATTCTGTATTCCTTCTGATTTATTCAAGAAGAAATCAGAACGTTGGAAAAATTACTTGTCCAAACTGTACAATTTGGAAACTAGGAATTTCACAAAAACTGATATATGAAAGTTGAATGTGATGTGACTGAAAAAAAAGATCTAAGTGACAAATTGAAAAATATACATGCATTTAGTAACTGAAACATTTAGACTTATATTTCTCATTCTTATCTATCTCATTCTGTTTATATCTATCTATCTATCTATCTATCTATCTATCTATCTATCTATCTATCTATCTATCTATCTCATTCTGTTCATATCTATGTACCTCTCTCTCTCTCTCTATCTATAATAATAATAATAATTATGTGTGATGTTGTGATCTTGATGTGTGATGTTTTTGTTTTTACAAGAATAATCAGTGGAAAATGTCATGGAGCCATTTCTGACCTTAGTTTTCTGGTTGAGATCCGGAAGGAAATGTGTATACAACAAAAATCAAAGGGAGAAGAAGGAATAATAATAATAATAATAATAATAATAATAATAATAATAATACAGCCTATTTTAAAAAAGAACAAAAATAAAACAGTCAACCAGTGTATTTCAGAAGGATAACCTTTTTAAGGCAGGCAGAACAAGAAATCGAACATTAATAGTAAAGAAGACATAAAATAAAAAAATAAAATGTTCGAACTTATCTTTCTGACTCAGCGTTTCACAGAAATGGTCATCAATTTAGCCACGGGAGACTAAATTGATCCATTGCCTGTAATCAAGATGGTCTCCCGTGGCCAAATTCGTAGGGCATGCTTCGGCTAGATTCCTGTTGGGCGACACATTTTTCTTTGGTCGGATTTCTCACATTGCCCACTAAAGTAGAATTCATTGCACTGAGAAATAATATCAGATTAAAACATCAATATATATATATACTAGCAGCATGGCCCGGCTTTGCCCATGCTTGATTCAAAAATAGTACGACTAATACAGCAATCGCTATCACTTGACTTAAAATATTTTTGCCCTTCCTTGCCTTGCTGTGCTGATGTTGTTACATACCTTACTTCTTGCCTATCTCACACTGCCAACTTTTTCTAAGCTCTATAGTAAACATTAAATCTGTTACGAAAAAAGAACTAAACAAAATAAACACAATACGATCAGCTTTAAAAAACCGGAAAAAACATTTTTAAGGGTTGAACGATTGTCGATTTGCACTCTGTTTGGGGGGGGTGCTCAGAGTTGAAACACCACATGGTGACTCCCAATGGCCTCTTCATAAATCCGCTCGGTTTTCGCTAAAAACCGAATTGCGGTTCAGACGCAATCTGGGCGTATCGGTTTTGGGGTTTTATCGATTTTCCGCGCTGTTTAGGGGTCCGTGGTCATGAAACTTCTGGACAACACTTCTAATGGTAGACTCTAAGAGGGTGTCAAATTTGGTTGAAATGCGATCATTCTTTCTGTAAGCAGAATTTTTTCGATTATCGATTTTTTCGGAACCTGAACTCAAAAATCGGGCTCCGTCATGTCCTTACGGCAGCCATTTGCAAACTTGTGTTGAAAACCGCATCGAAATCGGGTGAGAAATGCGGCCTGGGCGAGGTAACAACGCCCACGACAGACACACGACAGACAACATGAGATAGATAGATAGATAGATAGATAGATAGATAGATGAATAGAATATAACCTCATATCTATCATCTATCTATCTATCTATCTATCTATCTCTCTCTCTCTCTATATATCTCTATCTCTATATATATATATATATATATATATATATATATATATATATATATATATATTTGTTTCAGAAAAACCATCAAACAGAAACATGTATATATGTCAATTAGCAATGCATTACTGTCCGAAGACCCGTATTCTATGGGTCACGTAACAAGACCTTGTGACTAAGAATTACATCTGTGCAACAGAAAATCAATGATTTCCTTATATATATATTCGTTTTTATCATCAGTTGCGGATATTTTTAACATTCTGTCCTGACGTGCAATTTCATTTGAATCTTTAACTTTTGTTTGCCGTTCAAGTTTTCTCATTGGGCGAATTGTTTCTTGGCATAATATTAAAATAAATTGAAAATTAGCTTTTATTTTTTTTTAACAGAGAATCTTTTATTATATTTGAATGATAAACAAAATAGGTTTTATGTACAAAGATATAATACCTTTCTTTAAAAAAGATTGCAGTTAAATTTTAAATCCATCGCTAGAAGAAAATGAAAACCGAAGAAGTTCAAAACAACTACTTCAGCAAAAACCTTCGCAGTTACAGAAGAGGCTGCTTGTAACCGTTTCTTTTCAAGATACTTGCAAATTTTACAAATGGCTTTTTATTCAAAATTTCTTGAAGTTCTCAATTGAAAGCATGTGAAGACGTTATGTAATTCAAATGTTTTAATGTCAATATTGAGAATGTAATATTTAACATGAAAAAAGAATTTGCTGATTATTATAAAAAAAATATTGAAAATTCAATATCTTAGTTGCATCAAGTTTTCTCTGTTAAGAAATTACCCAGCTTTCTCTGCTATATAGGAGGATTGATATTATACAGCAATTCTGCACTTTTTCTTTGTTTTTAACGAACTTTTTCTGTTTCTTAATACTTTGCTTAGATTCTCATTCCCAGTTTTCCCTCAGGCAAATGATTGCCTCATTCACATTCTCCAAGCTACTTTTCCTTATTATGTATCGCAAATATTTCAACTTTCCCTTTTTAAATCTAAGCACACGTGTATTTTAGTTTTCATTGTATTTTAAAACTTCCTTTCTGCTCACATGTTCCGTCTATGGTATTATCAGCGTTCTTCTGTAGAACCACTTTTCTGTTGCCTCACGTTTCTGCGTTCACTCCCATATACGATAATCGATATTATACAAGAGTTCAATAATCTTTTCTGCGTTTCTAATGACATTTTAATAAGTAAGGGAAAAAATGTGACAGAAAAAGCCAAAGTTGTTCTTATATATGTCTGCGTCGTTCCATACGGCTTTATGAAATTCTTTATTTTTCGTCTGTTCAGATTAAGCCTGGATATTAATTCTTATTGCGAATAACACCCGTAAATAATGGATTTAGGAACATTCGTCTAAAGAATATTGGTCTAAGTGAAACCTGTCTAAGAACATTTTCTATGGAATACTCGTCTAAGAACGATCGGTCTACGGAATACTTGTTTTAGGACGATCGGTCTACGGAATACGCGTCTAAAGACGATTGATTTATAGAATACTCGTCTAAGGACGATTGGTTTTTGTAATACGCGTCTAAGGACGATCGATCTATAGAATACACGTCTAACAACGATCGATTTATAGAATACTCGTCTAAGGACGATCGTTCTATGGAATACTCGTCTAAGGACGATCGATCTATAGAATACACGTCTCAGGACGATCGTTTTATGGAATACTCGTCTAAGGACGATCGATCTATAGAATACTCGTCTAAGGACGATCGTTCTATGGAATACTCGTCTAAGGACGATCGATCTATAGAATACACGTCTCAGGACGATCGTTTTATGGAATACTCGTCTAAGGACGATCGATCTATAGAATACTCGTCTAAGGATGATCGATCTATAGAATACTCGTCTAAGGACTATTGATCTATAGAATACTCGACTGAGGACGATCGGTTTATGGAATACCCGTCTACGGACGATCGGTTTATGGAATACTCGTCTAAGTCGATCGGTTTATGTAATACGCGTCTAAGGACGATCGGTTTATGGAATACTCGTCTAAGGGCGATCGGTTTTTGGAATACTCATCTAAGAACGATCGATTTATAGAATACTCATCTAAGGACGATAGGTTTATGGAATCCGCGTCTAAGGACCATAGGTCTATAATAATATTTTTTAATAAGTTAACACATTTTCAAGTACGGAATAATTAATTTTATGGATATAAACTTCTAACAACATTAATTCCTGATGATAAATGTGGTTTATAATCATGTAATGGTATGCATTGTTTGTTATATTAATGCTAAAACATTACACCATAATTCTTTAGGCGAAGATTTCTTTGCTGTATATTCTTTAGACGAGTATTCCTTAGGCCAATAATCTTAGACTAATATTCCTTAAACCAGTGTTCCTTAAACGAATGTTCTGGATCCCGTAAATAATCTAAAAATATTACTCATCTGAAACCTACCACTTCTTTAACTATCATCAGAAGTTGGAAATTGGCTTGAATTCTTCCTTAGTTTTTAAGTAGTGAATCAATGCGTACCCATCACTTGCAGCGTGTGCCTTTTCTGGTAACGGCACTGAACAAGGGTTGAGGGCGATTAACGTGTTGTTCAAAGTTGGAAGATAAGTCGTTACAGCGAGATAGGATTAATTTAGCAAAAATAATCCCAGAAAATTTTGAAACCTAAACTCATTAATGATAAAAATTAAGTAGAATGACAAAAGTTTGTCATCAGTTAGTAAATAAATCAAATGAAGAGAAAAAGCAAGGATATATATATATATATATATATATATATATATATATATATATATATATATATATATATATATATATATATATATATATAAGACTGAAAGTGTATTTACGGCAGTTCTTCATAGTTGATGAGTGAAGTCAAAGAAGTGATGTAAAAACAATTGGATCACAGTAATAATCGAAGGAAGCACTCTTTCATTCTTTTTCAAGTATTAGCATGTCGTAATTTTCTTATCGTTTCAGGCGCGCGCGCGCACACACACACACATAAACACATAAAGAAAGAAAGGTGAGAGAAAGAAAAGAAAAAAGAAAGAAAGAAAGGAAAAAGAAAGAAAAGAGGAAAAGAAAAAAGAGAGAAAAAGAAAGAGAAAAGAAAAGAAAAAGAAAAAGAGGAAATAAAGAAAAAGAAAGGAAAAAGAGAGAAAAAGAAAAAGTAAAGAAAGAAAAAGAGGGAAAAGAAAGAAAATAAATAAAAAATAAATAAAAAAGAGGAAAAAGGAAAAGAAAGAAAGAAAAGAGAGAAAAAGAAAAGAAAAGAAAGAAAAATTAAAAAAGAAAAGTCCAAAAGACAAGAAATAAAGATAGAAAAAAGGGTGAAAAAAGAAAATAAAGAAAGTGTTTATATTTGTTATTGTTTCAGGATTTTACTTTGTCGAATGAAAACTCAAAAAATACAAGTTTCCGTGCCTTTATTTTGTGATTTTATCTCGAAAGACTTCATAAATTTTCGACTCATGCCTTTTTAAGTGTATGGAAATGTATGTATACACATATAGATACCAATTATGAGTAATTAGTATCTATATGTGTTTATAGACACCATGATGTATGCATAGTTATACACAAAAATCTG